GGGGGGGTTGGGGGGGGGGGGGGGGGGGGGGGGGGGGGGGGGGAGCAATGGTGGTTTCTATTGTTGATTGTGCAGGGTTGGGTAGAAATTGTTTGGTTTATTTTTATTTATTTTTTCTTTTTCATATGTTCCCATACTTTTAACTAATTCAAGATATTTTTCAACTACTTCGTTTTTGAGATCCATTTACTTTTAGGTTACATTTTGTTGATTGTGCTAAAATCCAATATGGAGAATTTTACATTAAAAAGATAGGAAAGCCCTGGCATATACTCATTTATACTCCCCATGCCTTCCAACAGTAACTTCAAATATTCTGTGTTAAACTGTATTCATTGGAAGACATTGTTTATTGAGCCACTACTATGGGGTACTCCTGTGAATATCCAGTGAGCAAGGCAAGCACTCTGAATCTCCAGTCCCTCTGGCCAGCTCTTAAGACAGGAGCTGAAATGGAAGTTAACAGGAGGCTATTCATTCTTGGAGCTTTTTGCTGCTGTTTGCCCAGCATCACACCAGACACTAGGAGAAAAAGTCAAGAAAGCTGGACAATGGCTCCATCAAGACAATAGTATAGGACCATAATGAAATGGGTACACTTCGCAGAAGCCAGACAGATGGGGGAGTGTTCTGGAGAGAGGAAGGACCAGGGACCCACAGCCTGTACTACCTCTTACTTTTCATCTTGCTCTTTTGGGAAACGCTTATAGCTTAAGCTGCAAGTGGTGTCTATATAAACAAATGTATTTCCCATAAACCAGTTGTTAATTTAGGAAACATTCTATTCCCTTTAGTCTGTGTGAGGTCAAATAACCAGGCTGGCTGAATTCCCTACTTTTCGATGATTTGTTTCCAATTTTTCAAAGTTTTGTCTTTCATCCACAGCTTTGATGGGAGTTGGTGTGAACATTGGCTTGAAGTCTTTATCATTTAAACAGAAAATAAATTAGTATCTTAATGCCAATATCGAGAATTGAGGACATTTGATGATAGGTGTCTTTGAGTAGAAGAGGGCATTGAATGTTCCAATGAACATTCATACATGATAAAAGTCTAAGGAAATATCTTTAGTTAGAAATTAATTCTCTGACCATTCTGCTGAGTTAAAAAAAAAAAAGGCAAGAACTCAACAATATTATGCCTTTAAAAGCTCCCTGCAACTAAATGGAGAATGGTTCATTTTAAAATATCTTGATTTTTTTTCAGTGGTTAAAAACCATGTATGAAATTGGCCATAGAAAGAGACGACCACATGATTAATTAAGTTGCTTTTTTGGTCATTTCCAGCAAAGCTTGCTTATGCTGCTCTTGAATTCACCAGATAAGCTAAAAATAAATTGTAGTGTATAACGCTTTTTATTTACCAGATATAAATATATTCTTCAGAGATTCTGTCCTTGAATTTTTAATAGCTTTGCAAGGATTAAAAGTCAATACTTCACCACACCAGTGTATTAAAAGAATCTTCCTGAAGTCTGATTATTGTTTGCCAGTTAATAGACTTTTCAATTAAAATTATTTGCTCTGTCTTACACTTTTCCTTCTCTGTGTTTTTCAATGGCAAGTTGTTTTGAATCTTCCCTATATTAGTCCAACAACTGTTAAAAAGCTTTGGTTGAAATTTTTTAGCTGAGAAAAAAAAGTACAAATAAAAGAAGAGGCAGATGGTCCCTTTGTGAATGAATGAAGAAAAAGGGTTTTGAGAACAATATATGAATAGGTGTAGTCTAATAAAACACTCAGCCACCTGCTGCCTGAATCCTTCAAAAAAAGATTCTGTTGCATATTCTGGGAGTTAACTATTAATGTATCCTTCAGTTTGATAGAAAATATAAACTTTGAGAGGTTTGGGTCCTTTTCCCTTTGTGTGGATTGAATTGGCTTCTCTATATTTTAAATTGGGTTTTTTTTAATTCAATTTATCTGCTCAAGAGTATAATTAAAGGTTTTCTAACAAATGGTTAAATGAAGGAAAGATACCAATGAGGATGTAGGCATTTCTTTTCTACCTTTGTTTTAAGTTTTCTGCGCCCCTTCAGAAAAACTTGCCCTTGCAGAGACACAAGCAAGAAGGCCGTGATGTGTTTGCAAACAGTGGCTAAATATTTGGGTGCATTTCTTCTTAAAAAGGCACTTCGATCCTTATTTGTGGACTGCTTTCCCTTTCAGGGATTTACTCTTCCACCGGACTATCAGACTATAATCAACCCTACATCCACAGCTGCACAAGTGGTCACCCAAGCAATGGAGTACGTGCGTTCTGGGTGCAGAAACCCTGCCGCCCAGCCCGTGGACTGGAATAACGACTACTGCAGTAGTGGGTAAGCGGCCGTTCACCGCCACCTGGTGGTGGGCAGCTCTCATTGCATGCCCAGCGTGCCCTGCTCCCTCGTCCATGGAAAGAAAGATCTATCTTTTCTTGCTGCTTCCTAAAAGATTATCTGGAATGGTACCCTCATTCCTGAAAGCAGAAGACACCGCTCCAGAAATGAGTAAGCCCTCTACTAGCCGTACCGAGAATAACTGCCTTTAGATCCCTGTTCGCTGGAGATGGAGATGTAGGTTAACTAATAGTGCACGTTCCTAGGACACACTTCCTCATTCTTCAAGCTATAGCAAATAGATAGGCTTACATGCCCCGAGGTCACCTGTAGCGAGATTACCTGTGTGTAACAAGGCATTCTTTGTCTGTTTCCTCTTCATACAGGGGCATGCAGCGGGACAAAGCACTGTACCTTACCTGAAAATCTGAACGCCTCTTCTGTCCACTGAGGAATTCAGGGAAGTCTTCACCGTGGGTTGCTTTGTACAGTCAAGGCAATTCTCCATTTTATTAGAAAATACAAGTTGCTAAGCACTTAGGACCATTTGAGCTTGTGGGTCACCCACTCTGGAAGAAATAGTCATGCTTCTTTATTATTTTTTTAATCCTTTATGGACATTGTTTTTCTTCTTCCCTGAAGGAAATTTGGACCATTCAGATTTTATGTTGGTTTTTTGCTGTGAAGTGCTGCGCTATAGTAACTGCCTTAGCAACTGTAGATGTCTCGGATAAAAGTCCTGGATTTTCCATTGGTTTTCATAATGGGTGTTTATATGAAACTACTAAAGACTTTTTAAATGGCTTGATGTAGCAGTCATAGCAAGTTTGTAAATAGCATCTATGTCACACTCTCCTAGAGTATAAAATGTGAATGTTTTTGTAGCTAAATTGTAATTTGAAACTGGCTCATTCCAGTTTATTGATTTCACAATAGGGGTTAAATTGGCAAACATTCATATTTTTACTTCATTTTTAAAACAACTGACTAATAGTTCTATATTTTCAAAATATTTGAAAAAAAACGTATTCCCAAATGATTTTAATTTAAAAACAAATTGGCTTTGTCTCATTGATCAGACAAAAAGAAACTAATGTTAAGGGAAGCGCAAACACATTTATTTTGTACTGCAGAAGAATTGCTTTTTGTATCACTTTTTGTGTAATGGTTAGTAAATGTCATTTAAGTCCTTTTATGTATAAAACTGCCAAATGCTTACCTGGTATTTTATTAGATGCAGAAACAGATTGGAAACAGCTAAATTATAACCTTTACATATGGCTCTGTATTATTGTTTCTCCATACTGTGTCTGTATTTAATCTTTTTTTATGGAACCTGTTGCGCCTATTTATGAAATAATAAATATAGGTGTTTGTAAGTAAATTTGTTAGTATTTGAAAGAGGTTTCTTTGATGTTTTAACTTTTGCTGGCAAAAAAAAAAAATTCACGCTTGGTGTGAATACTTTATTATTTAGTTTTTACGGTGACATGAATAAAGCCAAACCTACTTTTCATTTAGCAACAAATCAAAGTAACTAATCCTTATTTTTACATTTCGTTGGTTGATGCAAATGAAAAACTATGATATTTAAGAACTTTCTTTCTTCGTACAATTTAACAGAGAAATTACCCTACAAGTCACACAAGCTCCAAGACCAAACGGACAGGTTCTTGACCTGAAAGGGTTGCTCCTTGGTTCTCAGCTGGTTGTAGTCAATTCTGTAAAGTCCCCTCCTCCGAAAAAAATTATAAAAATTAAAGTCGAATCAACCAAAATTCCTCAAGCTGCATGCTTTTCACAAAATCCAGGAAACATTTAGGAATTGAGCCAGAGGTGAGAGGAAGGGAGGGAAAGCATACTGTCAAGAATATATCTGAAAATGAAAGGTGAGTAATCAAACAGAAAAAAAGGTGGGGGGAAACATCAAATTTGAAAGATACTGATAGAAATTGAGGTTCTAACCGTCTTTTGTGTCTCTACAAGCTACTTGTCTTTCCAGAATTCCTGGGTCTTCCAATGGAATTCTGAGGGTACTAGCGATTTTCTAGGAAACCAAAAACATTGAGAATCTGGCTGAAGGTTTGCATAGCTTTTATATCAAAAAGAGCTAGCAAATTAATCCCTTACAGGGGATTGTATTTTTAAAAGCAAGTCTGGTTGGAAATCAAGAGAATGGCTGATGTTTCTTTCATGAAATGTGTGAACTAAACTTAACGATTTAACTAAATACAAATATATGCATTGTGTAATCCAGTCAGAATTAAAAAGACAAAGGGTATGCTTGCTTTGGAATGATTTTAGGCATTGTACAACCTTGAATCACTTGAGCATGTAATAACTAATAAATAATGCAGATCCAGTGTGATTATTAAAATGACTGTAGCTGAGAGCTCTAATTTTCCTGTCTTGAGACTGTATAAGAACTCATGTGATTAAGTTCACAGTTTATTGTTTGTCTGTTTAGTATTTCAGAAATATACCAGCACCACTAATTACCTAATGTCTTTTATTTATTATATGATAAGAAAGTGGAGTTTTCGCCTGTAGTAAGTCTAAACGGAGTAGGTAATTACTGGGATGAGAACAGCAAGCTTTGACTGTGACAGGAGGTTTGTACAGGAAAGTACAATGTTGTTTACACATTACAGCGTTTCTAGAACAGGTGTGCAACCAGGGTAGAGAAAGTGTTCACACTCGATACCAAAAACAAAAAAAGTACAAAACCAATGTAAATAAAAGAGAGTACATCATAAATAAAAATTCTTGCCATGTGTGACCGTATTCTATCTGGACATCCATCAGCCGCTAAAGGACAGACCCAGTAGAGGAGAAATCGCAAATAAACTTGGTGGCAGAAGCCATCAGGCACAGCAAGGGTTCACGGGTTCCACGGCCACAGATGGTCGTTCCTGAAGCACAGTGTCCTCTCAGCAACCTGGTACGGTGACGTGTTGCCTGAGAAATCCTCCACTTTAGAAAGGAAGCCAGCTTGTAGCTTGAAACTCAAAGGAACAGTGAGTGATGGGGTGCCCTGTAGTACTCTCTGCAGGACCCCTGCCCCTCGAATCAAGTCATTCTGGGAAATTCGGCAATAATACTGAATATAAACTCTCTTTACCAACTCAACAAAACCAAAACTGTAACTCACTTGAAAGGAAGAAAGAAAACTATGTATGAGGAAGGGTAGGAGAGGGTTGAATTGTGTCTCTACCTTACACAAGAAAGAGGAATCCAAAAGCCCAACACCCATTCAAATGCGAATGAGCTGACAATGGAAAATTAGTCAATGACTTCTAGTTAACCAAGTCAGTGACCGTAGCTAAGGATAAAAGTTGGTCTCTGTGATAGTGTTCACCTTGTTTCTTAAAGGGAAAGAGTCCTGTCTGAATGGGATGTGAGCGATCCATCAAAAGCCATAACTACAAAGAACAGTGTGTCCTGACTGGGATTCATTACTAAGAGACATTTTTAATTTATGAATTTAAAATTTAAAAATAAGCCCATCAACACCAATTTTCTTTTTTCATGGACCTCTCGCCTTTTGCAAAAAAGTTACCCCCCCCCATTTGAAAGGTGATTAGATGGAGCCATATGAAAGTGCCTGTATTTGTCTCTTGTGTGTATAAAAATGACAAAATCCTAGGAGAAAATAGTGGGGGGAAAAAGTAATCAGTTATGGTTGCTGACAAGGTGCCCCACCTCAAATCAATCCAAACATTTACATAAAATCTAACAAAGAATATTTTAAATTACCAGATTCCAGTAAATCCCAATAAACATTCTTATTTCTTTGTTATAGCAAAAAAAAAAAATTCTGTGGAAATTTGTAATAAATAGGTTCTCTGCTAGAACATGAAAGAGTTTGTTACACACAGATGTTCTCTTAATGTTCAGGGTTGAAGGGAGATTTGATCTGCATTTTCTTATTCCATTCATAATTCTCATTTTAAGGTAATGATAGAAACAGAGGAATTTACCTCTTTTGTTGATGATCGAACATGGAAATAGTGGTGAGGAGAAGTGCAGAATTCACATCATAAATTTTAACCCAAAATACATGTCATATACTGAGTCACCTAATGGGTGAATTCATGTGAGCCATCCAACAGTACAAACTCTTTGTTTCCCTAAAATATAATAATTTCTGTACCTCAAAGCAATTTGAAATGTCATAGTACATAGCAGGTACACAATAAATGCGATGATATCTAGAAAGATCAATGACACATCACAGATGATCCTCAATAGGAATTGTGTGCTGTTTCTTTGGTGATTTGAAAATCCTCTCAACACAAAATGGAATTAAATATTGCCGATGAGCATTAGGAGGTGAAGAAGAATGGAAATTTTCATTAAGAAATCTAAGGTTACAAAAAGATTGAAAAAAAAAGAATTTCAAAATGAGTTTTGCCCTATTTATTCGGTCTACATAATTGAACAAGGGTTTCGAGTTACAAAGTAGAAGATATAATACCCACTAGTCACATCGAGAAAGTAAGAAGCAAAGGAGAGAAAAGGTGCTAGACAAGTGGGAGGGTTGAGCGCAGGAGAGAAATTTCAGGAGGCGAGTTTATGGAATGCTAAATCCAACACCGATGAGCAGGGTGCCGACTTTTTATTTTATTTATTTTTTGTAATTGCCAAGTGTTCGTGTGACTTGGTGAAATGAAGTAAATAAAAGCACATTCCCTGGACTTTATCTAAATGACACCAGGATAAGAAGTAATGGCCCTATTTTCTAAGATTCCCAAAGATTTCCCCAGGTTTATTGGAACCAGATTCCAAAATAGAACAGAGAAGTTTCCAAATCCTTATACAAGACCCGCAGGAGGCAGGGGTAACTTGGGAACCAGCATTCACACACTTCCCAACCCACGTGTGTACAGACATTAGACTTTGCCTTCTCATTTCTCACTCAGTCGACATCTCCAGAGCCAGGTGACATTGAAATTGGTAAGAAGTGAAGATGAAGTTCTGGTTCCAGACCAGCAGGGAGCTGAGAACAATGACGTGTCCTATTTCAGCGCTGGTCAGAGTTGTGTCTTATTAAGGGGGACCCCCCCCCACCCCCCCGCGACTGCCCGGCACTGTCACAATTTCACATTTTGTTAGCAGCTTGTTAGCAAAGACGTTTGAAAGTGAGATTTCATTCACACTGACATGAGACCAGAAAACAAACAAAAAAATGACTGGAAAATAAAATAGAAAGACTTACAATTCTATAGAAAAAGGAAAAAAAAATTCTAAAGGAAGACTATGAACCAAAGTATAGTGTTTTAAGGGCTGCAGCGTCCCTGTTTGACAATTGTGTGTTTACAATAAGCCTAAACATAATTGCTCTGATGGGCTGTCAGGGAAAAGATTAATTTGGCAAAGATTAGTATTGACTTGCTGTTTATTAAGGCTTTTAAACAGCTGTATCTGGCAGCATTCCTGTAAGTGCCTGTCATATCTGAAAATCAGCCTTACACCCCGGTGCTCGCCAGCTGTTACTAAACAATCTTCTACCACTTTGCATGCCTTTCTCCAGGCCAAACAGCAAGCGCAAACTATTGCCAAATGAGCCTTTTTCTCCTCCTGTCATTTTTTTTTTTTTTTTTGAGTTGGGGGTAGGGAGCTTCTGAATGCTGAAATGTCAGCTCCTGGCCGATGGCTTAGCTGATAAGAGGTGCCGGAAGTCAGTGGGTGTTTTGGGTGCTAGATGAACACATTCCCCACACAGAGAATGGTAGTGCTGTTAGTCACTTTGCACAGACACAAAACCACAGCTTGCAACTGTTGTAAGGCGAAAGGTTTTCAAGACAGTTTAGAAAGCAGCGATCAAAGGTTTAGAGGTAGCAGATTTCCAAAACAAATGTTTTGTTTCCCCAGCCTGGCACATGCCTTGCCGGCCACAGTGCTGGAAAAAGACCCCACCGGGAGATGCTGAGGAAAACTTCCTCGTGGCCACGGATCTTGATCCTGTGAACTAAGGTTTCTACCAAGATGCTGAGAGAGGACAAATCCCTTGGAGTCAAACATGCACCTCCCATTTTGATTCAGTGGAAACCTGTAGAACAAGGCAGGTTTGGGTGTTCTGAAGTCTGTGAGAGAAAGGGCAGATTGAGTTTTGTACTGGAATAAGACCCAGTATTTTCAAACCTAAGTACAGTCATAAAGTCAATGGAAAGAATAACATTCCAGGGCAGTTAAACATTAAGCCATAAAGAGCCCCGTGTTATGGTGAAAGGCACAGGAATCTTTCCAATAGGGCTGCTTTCGCAAGGATTAATCTCAATCTTTTCCAGTTGCATCGGGCTGGAATAAGTTGTCAGAGCAGATCTAAAAGAACAGTGGTCTCTTAACCCTTTCATTGCTGACACTTTCCATTACCTTGTGGGTAGCTTTCTGAGTGATTATTTAAGGCAGGTGTTTGTCAATGTTTATCCCAACTAACTTTTTTTTTTTTGCTGCAAAAAGCTTTATTGTTTCCATTTGGTCCAATGCATGGGAAAGGGCTTCAGGTGCTTAAAAGAATGGCCAGTAGTTTCGGGGAGAGGCTCGAGCAAAAGACAGACACCAGGGGATGCAGAGGGACCCCTCATAAGGCCTCTGGACTCCAAAGGCCCTAGTCGCACTGGAGGGTAAGCCTTTCAAAGAGATACTCGCCCAGCCCAGCCTGGGGGCTGGCCAGCCAGCTGAGGTGAGTCAGGTGTAGCCTATCTTCTTGATGTTTCACCTGCTCACCCCGGAAGTAGTTCTCCAGGAAGTCACAGAG